ATGCACAGTACAGTTGCTCACCACCCGCCAATATTGATCCCAGAGGTACAAATAGGAACCCTGAACCCAAAACTGTAATCCCAGAAGAACGAGAGCCCCTCTTCTCCACCAACTCTCCTTTATATTCCAGACATGACATTTTATGATCTGGAATATCCCATTGGCATATCCAAACGCCAGTCTGGGTCTGCTGACTCACTATGCTCCACCCCACCACCCTCTTCCCCCTGCCAGTTTCTTCTGTCCCTACAGATGAGCAAAACATGGGGAGTTGGGAATTCCTTGGGTTTTGGGGGTTTTTTTCTCTCAGCAACAACCAGAGATATCAGTATATTAACAACATTCTTCTCAATCAACATTCTTCTCATACCAAATCTCGTGCTGAAACTAAAACACAGCACTATCCTAGCGACTAAGAAGAAAATTAACTCTATCCCAGCCGAATCCAGGACACCATGCCATGCCACGAGCCTGTTTTCACGCCCTCGCACTGTGTGTTCCCCACATCCACGTCACCTTTACGTGACTCCAAACTGAGCAAGGTACCTGCCCCACTTGTAGACTGACCTGGAAGCCCTTCACCAGATCTTTCTGTAAGAGATAAACCCTCACTTGGTATGTTTTCATGTAGTGTGAGTAAAACTGATGTTAGCTGGGTTACTTCTCCCAGGAGAAACACAGCTTAACTCTTTTCCTAGAGCTGACTCTGAAACATATAATGCTGTTCCATACCAGGAAGCAAAAAAACTCAGAATTTTTTGGAGTTTCACCTTTTTTATGGCAGCAAGGACTCTGATTTGCAGCACTGGCTCTGCAGAGACTCCCATTTCCTCAAGCAGGGTCCTCTTTGCAGGATTTTTTTGGCAATCAGCTTTACTTGCCAGATGATTTACATTATCTTCCATTGCTTTATTTTCACAGGGGTTTATGTTTCCAAGTATGCAGACTGTCTTCATCAGAGACCCTGGTGTCATGGAAAATCAGGCTACATTGTCATTTGTAAGCTCATTAAGGTAAAATGCAAGTCTGTCTTTTTATGTGAAATGATTTTCAGAAGCTACTATACAGTGCAAGAAGTTTTTAAGGAGACATTGGTGCCTGTAACTGTGGTGGAGTGTAAAATCAGCTCTTGCTGAGAACTTGTCAGGATTTTTGACTATGGGTTGTTTCGAGTTAGAAAGCAAGAGATCCAACTGGGCTTCACTGGTGGCCTGCAGGGCAGCAGAAGATGAGGAGGACCTTCCAGATTCCACTGCTGAGATCAGAAATTCCTCATAGGGTCACCTTTCTCACTGGACCCTGGTGTGTTTTAGGGGTTTGAGGGGTGAGCCCTAGGGTTGCTCAGCTCACAGCCCCATTCTATTCCTTTATGTGGCCCTTTTCTTCCCTCCTTAGTGGCTCCTGCTCTCTGTAGCTGGCACTGAAAACACATTTGCTCTCCTGAGCAGTGTGGATTTGTCTGCCATGCCAAACTCAGCCGAGTCAAGCCCTCATGTTTGGGAGGACACAGTTGCACACAGTGCTGGGGAGCTTGGGGCTGCCAGCAACACTCTTTGAGGAAAAGAAGGATTCAGAGGTCTTTTAAAATAAGTTTCTGCAAACAATTATGTGTATTTTTTTTTTCTTTTTGTAAATTTTCTGACACAGGGGAAGGTCAAGGTGGTTTCTGAGAATTTCACAGCCAGCTATACCCTCCCATCTCCTGGCTACGACTGCCACGTCGTCAGGACCAGAAACACAACATCAAAGATCAGCCACTTCCAGGCCTTTGTGCAAAGCCAGGTACAAGTTTGCAACAGGACCGTGCAGACAGCTCATGTGTGAGCTGCAGGGGAGCACAGCACTGACCCGAGTGCCTCATTCATTCCTCACCTTGTTGTTTTTTTATCTGTGTTTCTTTTCTCACCCCAGTATTACGTGTATGAAACGTACCGTGGCAGCACCACTGAGCGACCCAGGCAGATCTGTCCGTACATAGTCATCGCCTGCCAGTACAGGGAGCCAGAGGAAATGCCCATCTTAGTGTTAGAGAGCCCGTAAGCAACTTCCTGTCCTTCCAAAATACCCAGTCGCTTTTCTCAGATGGTTTTTCCCTTTTCCCATTGCTAAATGTTCCTCTTTTTCTCCCTTTTTCTCTACAGACCTCAGCTTAATCACAAAGGTAGGAGCATCTGGTGTTTGGGTTTTTGTTTTATAAATGTACCTTTTTCTCTTTGCCCTCTTCTCCTGCTTTCTCTGAGCCATTCTCCCTTTTGCCTGTAGCATTGTACTGTCCATGGAGGGGGCAGCTCTCAATCCGGGGCCAGCTTCTGTGCAACATCGCCCTGAGGACCCCGTACACCCCCACGATTCCAGCCCAGCTGTAAGTTCCTCCTTTCTCTTCTTTCTATGCAATTTGCAGAGTGTGAAACATTATACTTTTGGGTGTTTGTGTACCAGAAAAAGCCAATTTTGTCTCTTTTACCCCATCCCTTCATTGATCAGCATCTTCTTGCAGCTGTACCTGTGCTGTCAGGGCAATCATCAGTGTCAGGAAAATGGTGTTGGGGGGCCAGCAGTGCAGCAGCACAGCAACAGCTGGATGAGGATGTGAGATCAGGCTGTGAATTGCATCTGGAAACTGCTGTCTTTTGTCATCTCTTTTTGTTAACTGCTTTGGGATGTTTATTCCAAATCAATTATTCTCACTTGGGATTTTTCTCCTTGTGAGAAGTGGCTTCCTGATAGTGCATGTGTGATCAGCCAGTTGTGTTTACAGATCTGCACAGTGGCAAATAAAGTCTTGAGGTAACCAGCATTCAAAAAAAATGAGATATTTAAAATCCTCAGTAGTCAGAAGCCAACCAGCAAGCAGGGATTTGAGACAGCCAGTGTCAACCAGTAACACAGCCACCAATATCAATGTTTAGAGGTGTTTACAAACAGCATCCTCAAATCAGCGTAGTGCTAAGCACTCTGGAGAAGACTTCTCCAGCCTTCTCCAGAGCTGCTTTCTCTGGTTTCACAGTGACAGGCAACAAGAACTCTTTGCTATGCTTAATCCTCAGAGCCTTTTACACTTGTGATCTCACCATCTCCTGCTTTATCCGCACAGGCCTCCCAACCTGGACGTTAACCATGTCATGGGTTTGTCTGACTTGAGGAAAAAGCTACCAGAAGCTGCTTTTGGGAGAAGAAATTACACTGAGAATGAAGGTGAGTGCATGAGTAACATGTGCTTGTGCTGTGCCAGAGGAATTGCTGCAGGGGGACAGAGCTCAGGTCCACACAGCACTGGGTCCTGTCTTGGAGGGTGGCTGATTGCAGATAAGTGATGAAAAAAGCCAAGGCAGCACAGGGAGGTTGTTCTGTCCACACTTCATATGTCTTCTGCTGTGATATAATCCTCTTCCCAAAGCAGCCTTTTAATCAGCCTGTTCCTGGGACAGGACAGGGTGGAAGACCCTGTTTTGAGACCTGGGCTTTCATCCTGCAAGGTGCCAGACTTGGTGGAGATGAGAACAAATGCAGGGAAACAAACTTTTCCTTTATTACATATCTTATGAGGTAATGGACACTCCACCTCTCGGGGTCTGTCCCAGTGTCTCCTGTATCTGGGTGGATGGTGTAGCTGCCAAAGCCAAAAGATGTGGCTGCCTGCAGTAGCTTTGGGTGACAGGTAGCCAACTTATCACTTCAAGGGAACTGACACTAACAGTGACTGGCAGCATGAGAGAGGACAGAACTCCAGAAACCTTGGGGAGAGGCAGAGAATGCTCAGCAATCAGCAAATAAAAGCACAGATCTGGGGGAAAAGAAGGGCTTTACTGGCAGAGAATCATAGAATGGGTTGGAAGGGACCTTAAAGCTCATCCAGTTCCAACCCCCCTGCCAGCAGCAGGGACCCCTTCCACTAGACCAGGTTGCTCAAAGCCTCATCCAACCTGGCCTTGAACACTTCCAGGGAGGAGCAGCCACAGCTTCTCTGGACAACCTGGGACACTGGCTCACCACCCTCACACCAAACAATTTCTTCCTCACATCTCAGCTCCATCTCCCCTCTGCCACTTTCAAGCCATCCCCCCTTGTCCTGTCACTCCCTGCCCTTGGCCAAAGTCCCTCCCCAGCCTTCCTGGAGCCTCTTCAGGTACTGGGAGGCCACTAGAAGATCTCTCTGGAGCCTTCTCTTCTCCAGGCTGAACAGCCCCAACTCTCTCAGCCTGTCCTCACAGTAGAGCTGCTCCAGCCCTCGCATCATCCTGGTGGCCTCCTCTGCACTGGCTCCAGTAGCTCCATGTCCTTGTGGTGTTGGTGTCCCCAGCACTGGAGGCAGCACTGCAGGTGGGGTCTGAGGAGAGTGGAGTAGAAGGCACCATTCCCTAAGCTGTGCTAAGAGACCTTCCTTGCCTATAGTCAACCACTCTCTCCTGGTCAGGGTGGGGAGGAGGGGACCTGTGTCTAATGACACTTTGGGGTTGATGTTTTTGGGGGGTTGGAGCTTTGACGAGCCTGGCAGCTCAGCCCCAAGGCATTGAGCACCCAATGGAGCTGTGCATTGCAGTGGACACGCAGTTACTGGCACAGATACCACAGGTTGCACATGGAGAACTCTGGATGTGATTTACAGAAGCTCCAGGTGCATTTCTGTATCATCTTGCACCAAAATAAGTGTGAGCTGCTCCAATCTTGCCTCCCATCTGTCTGTCAGCTCTGCTGAGCCAGGTCAGGGCACTGATCAGGCCACAGTCTTAAAATCAGCTGGTGAAAGAGAGGAAATACTCGAACACAATAATTTTGCTGTGAAATTCAGAGGGATAAAGTAGGTCCAAGATCTTGCCTTTGTTAAACTCCTTTGGGGATCAGAGTGTGGAATAAGGATGCTCTGTAGCAGGGGACAATATGACATGTTAGAATGAGGTGGGTTTTTTTAAAAACCCAGTGCTTCCACTAATTGCACACCCATCTTCCCAGTACAGGAGCATTTGTTTGTTCAGAATTCATGCAAGAGGCATTATTTCAACATCAAATTCTCTCTCTTTTGTCTGCAGTCTGTTTTCAGGGTGTTTATTTCAGTATGTATGAAGTAGAAATATCAAATAAGGATCAACATAAAATGGATCAGTTGGTAGAAAATCTAAAGGAAAAGGACTTGGTAAGTATTTTAAAACATTGTCATTCTGGGAAGAAAGTGGCCTTTTAAATGATTTCTTGAAACTTTTGGTAACATTATTCACAGATTCTGCACTAACGCAAAATGGAATGAATTTCCCTAATTTTATTTTTTAAATATTATTTTTTTAAGTGGTTTTTTTTTAAATATTATTTTCCTGCTTTGTTATTTTTAAACATAGTTTAATCTTTCTGTATATAAACTGTTAAGTGAAGATTTACCCACTGGGAACTGATTTCTAGAGTGAGAAAGGCAAACCAGGCAAAACCATACCAGGTAAACTACTTCTTTGGCTGTGTTTATGCCACATGAGTTTATTTTATTGTCTTTATTAATGATTTTCCCCCTTGCAGTTCAAACAGTGTGGTGGATAGGAACTGCAAGGGGATCTTAAATATTAAGAAAGCAGAAGCAAAGTCCCTTAATGCCAAAATGATAATTACTGAGCAAAAGACATCCACTGTCATGTGCTTCCCTTTCTCCCTCATGGCTGTAAAATAGCCCCCACTCAGAAAAATCGTAGAATCATGAATGGTTTGGATTGGAAGGGACCTTAAAGCTCATCCAGTTCCAACCCCCCTGCCAGCAGCAGGGACACCTTCCACTAGACCAGGTTGCTCAAAGCCTCATCCAACCTGGCCTTCAACACTTCCAGGGAGGAGCATCCACAACTTCCTTGGGCAACCTGTTCCAGTGTCTGACCACCCTCACAGTGAAGAATACTCAATAGTTATGCTGCCAAAACCTCTCAGGCTTCTGGGAGTTCTGAAGATATTGAGATTTATCCTTTTTTTAATGGAAAATTTCCCTTTATATATTATCTGAGAAGGCTTTTTTCTGCCACACTCAGGTCTTTATTTTTCCCAGTGTGATTGTCACGTCTCCTTGTGACTCTCTGCTGGGATTTGTGGTTGGATTTGGTTTGGTTTTGCTCTCTCACATCTGATGCTTCCTGTAGATTCAGGGTTTTAAATTCACAGCCACAAACTCATAACTGGCCGGGCACATCCTCCCATCACTGTAAGTTGGCAGCGGCCCATGAAGTGCCTGGAAGCGCTGTCGCTGTGCGGCACTGCTGAAGAGCTGCCCACTGATGTCCAGCTTCTCACATCTGATGTACCAGAGTGAGTGTTTGTTGTGGATCCCTGTGAGAAAAGTACTCGATTAAACTGTATTGGTAGCAACATAAGAAGAAAAAAAGGGGATGACAAAGACAATCTGAATGTCCTTTAACATCTGAACTGTGCGGCATCAGTTGGACCTCTAGTTGGGGCATACATCTGTCCATTCTGCATCTCACAGAATCATTGAATGTTG